TACAAAGAAACCTCCAAAACAAACAAACAAACAAACAAACAAAAAATCTTTTTTTCCCCCCCAGAGCTCTTTTGCTTGAAAATTTGCCTTTCCCTTTCCTAGCTCATTCTTGCACATCCTCTGAGATGAGGGAAAAAGCTCTGCAGGAAAACATGCCATCCTTTTGGCATGGCATAGCATAGATTTTTATGAGATTATTTGCTCTGGTCTAATAGTGTGGTGGAGAAGGCTTGGGAGTTGATTCTGTGTACTGTAGTTAGATTTGTATCAGTGAGATATGACAGGTCTGCCCTTGAGATTCTGCAGTGGCACAGTGCCAGCTGTTCACCACGCTGATCTGTGTCTCTCCAGAGCAAAATCAAAACCTGCTGCCATGGTTCAGCTCTGGGTCAGACCCACAGCCAGATTACTGAGGGTTTTTTTTTGTTTTGTTTATTTCTTCTTAATTCGAAAATTGCTGAAATTTTGTAAGGGAAGCTGCTTTCCTGATAATTCAGCCTAAAGCAGCCCTGTATCTGCTACTTATACATAAAAGGCTGAAGGATTTTGGTGCTAGTATTAAACCTGCTTTGACCTTATGACCATAAAATAAAACCACAGTTAAGCCAGATTCACAATCTGCTAAGCAAAACCATGCAAAGATTTTTTTTTTTTCCAGGAAAAATTCTGCCATGTATTGCACTGGGATTTCATTAATCTTTCTTGATGGCATTTCACTTAATTGCTGCCATTTGAGGGCCCTACAGGCAAGCCAGAGAAGGAAGAATAAAGAATAAGAAAAAAATCCCATCATGTTTGTGCTTGTGCAATCTCAATGTGTTTTAAAAATCTTTGTAGAAATAGCTATGAAATGAAAAAATGAAGATAGTCCCAAAGGAACCATAGTCAGGATGTGTCCTAAAACAAGGGTATCCCTACTGTAACTCAGAAAAGGTTTGAGATCTCTACTAAAGTCTGGCAAAGCAGTGGCTGCCCCTCCCTCTCTCTTTGTGGTCTCACTGGGATTTGTAGGACTGGGGCTTGGGCTACAGGTTTTAAATTGTAGTTTGGATGAGATTTTTCTTGGCATGGGGTTCAGAGGTACCACTACTACTACTGAGAGTATCCTGCTCAGTGATTACTGACGAGTCCAGTGTTGCAGAGGAAAGAGTGCTAACATTACAGTACACTGTTATGCCTCCTGGCCCTTTTTGCAATTCAGACACATTTCTGTCTTCAATGAGACTGGAATATTATGTTTAGTTTATTTTCCAGTACTTTCATTAGTTTAAAAAAATTATTTTCCTTGCCCTGTTCTGACACATTTGGACAACTTTTTAATGTTCTCATAATAAAAATAGATATTAGGTCAGATGGGTGATTAGTCTGAACCAGTACAGCCATTCTTAAATAATTAGTGTGTTTCCAATACCATAAAAAAACCCACATTGCTTTTTTTAAAAAATCACACTAAAATGTTACTCTGGGAAATAATAAATGGCAGAGTTCCACTGTGTAAAAAAAGCCACATATGAAATAGTTCTTCTTCTGACAGCTTTGGGTTTCCCATCTCTAAAACTGACAGAAGGTTTCAATATTTTTGTGCTAAAGGACACGGAACAATAGAAATTTCTCACCTAATTTTTCTGAAGCAATTGTTCTTTTACATAATTTTATCCTCAAAAAATTGAAGGCAGTGAAGAGAAGAACAAGACACACAGATCTGACCAGTTTTGTTTTGCTGTATGAAAGGGATTGAAAGGAGACAAACCTCAAAAAGTGGAGATAATGAGTAAGAAACCCATTTAGTTTTATTTCTTTGATTTTAAAGGACCAGACCTTTATTAGTACTCAGATTTTTTCCCTAAAATAGGGCACCTTCAAAGGCTTTTAAAAATCATGTCAGAGGTTGGAGTACCTTTTTATTCTGCGACTGGCCAGTGAAGGATCACAGTTTGTTGTGTGCATGAAAGAGAGCCTGTTTTCAAGGGAGTTTTCTACTTCTGCATCTCCAAATAATCCATACCCTTCTAGAAAGAGAACGTTGGAGGGGTTTTATGCCATCTCAGTATTTTCCTATTACTTGTTCCATTATTTATTGTGGAGTGACTTTCCAACTTGCAGTGCCCTGAGCAAGCGTGGTTCTTGCCTTCTTACCAGAGGGGGAATCTGGCTGCAAATTGCCTCCCCATCTGCTGTGGAGTGAGCGAGAAAAATTCGAACTGGCACGGAAATTTTTTCCCCCTTTCCTTTTGTCTCTGCTGCCAGAGGGGAAATAGGAACTGGCCCATTAGTTATTGAGTTAATATAGGGCCACAGAGTTGGAGATGCCCTGATTGCAGAGCCTGAAGACTGAACACTCCTCCCCCCTTGCAGCAAGACAGCTTTGAAGTACTTGGTGAACTTTCAGCCTCCTAGAAGATGCTTCTCTTAGTATAATTGATTAGATAAGTTTGTTGCCAATCCTCATTTGGGCGTATCCCCCCCCCCCCCCCCCCCCCCCCCCCCCCTCCTCTCGGGCCCTGCTCCCTCCACCCCCCCC